AAGCTCCTGGTGTGGAAGTGACACAGGGATTTTAGGCACCACGGGAGTGCCTGACTTTGCTGGAAGAAGGGATTGCAAAAGGGACATGGAGGAGGTCTGGAGAGCAATAATTCTAAATAGCACCTCAGGAATGATGTCATTTCGACCGAACGTTGGACATTGGGCAATGAATTCCTTTGGAGCAAGAGCAGCCCAGGGCCACCAGCCAAGAGGGGGGAAGAACTTCCACAGAACAGGGTAATAAAGAGCCTGTGGAAAGTCCAAAGCGTTGCAAGGTCATGGTGGAGGGAATAATCCTGAGGGGAGGCAGATAAATAACCTGGAATTCTCTCCGGGCGTGAGGGGTTACCAGGAAATGCAGGGGAGGAAGGTGTTGCAGCTCCAGAACAAACAGCGGGTCTTGATCCATGTCAGGAGCCAAATCTTGGGATAGATGGAGCACTGGAACAGCCTGAAAGATTGCTGTGATCCCAGAGGGGTCCTTGTGATCCCAGAGGGGCCCTGTGATCCCAGAGTGATCCCTGTGGCCCCAGAGTGATCCCAAAGAGGTCCTCATCCCAGAGTTATCCTTGTGGTCCCAGAGGGGCCCTGTGATCCCAAAGGGGCCTGTGTGATCCCAGAGTGATCCCTGTGATCCCAGAGGGGTCCCTGTGATCCCAGAGCAATTCCTGTGATCCCAGAGGAGTCCCCATGATTCCTGTGATCCCAGAGGGGTCTTTGTGATCCCAAAGAGGTCCCCATGATCCCAGAGGGGTCCCCATGATCCCAGAGTGATCCCTGTGGTCCCAGAGGGGCCTGTGTGATCCCAGAGTGATCCCTGTGATCCCAGAGTGATTCCTATGGTCCCAGAGTGGTCCCCATGATCTCAGAGGGGCCCATGTGATCCCAGAGTGATCCCTGTGATCCCTGATGACAAGATTTTGCCCCCAAAAAGGCACGAATGGAAAAATTCTGCTTAGAGACCAAGTTTGTAGCCTTTAAGCAGCGAGGTGTGTTTATTTTGTGGGCCTCCGGAGCGCCCAGGGAATGGTCAGGTTGTCCTGGAAAAACCACTCCACTTTTCCAGTGAAATGACAGGATTTTGTACAGTTTCTACGAGTGATTGAAACACTTTTACATACATATTCGTATAATTGCAACATAACATTTTCAATATTCCTAACAGGTGGATTATTAGAGGGGTGGTCCTCAATTTGGGGAGAATCTGGGAGGGTCGTTCCGCTCTTCGGCCTCAGGGAACCCCCTGCCTGCCTCCCATGGTCATCATGAACTTTGTGAACTTTCTTACTTTGGCTGACTTTATGGGGCATTTAGCAAGACTTTTTGGACTCAAGCCCCCATTTTGCCCCTTATCTTACTTCTGTAGGTGTGTGTGCATTCTTTTAGTGTACAGTGCTGTCTAATCCTAAGCAGTACAGTCTGGCTAAGCAACTTTTCTGTTTTCTTGCTCATAACTATATTTTGAACTTAACTCTTTGCTTTTTGTGTTGCTATATTACATTTGCTTTCTAGGCCTTGCCTGGCTTCATCCCAAAGAAGTCCCCACGATCCCAGAGTGATCCTTGTGGTCCCAGAGGGGCCTCTTTGATCCCAGAGTGATCCTGAGCTGTTCCCTTGGGGCTCAAACCAACACCAGTGAAAACCTGCGTCCTCCTCCTGGACTGAGGGGGCCAAAAGGCTGCCACAAATCCAGGGATATTATTCCTGTGGACTTGATGAACTCAATGACTTGATGAAACATCAAAACCACCCCATAAAAACTGTGTGTTGGTGGAGTTTTTAATTTGTAGGGTGACTCGTGGTGCTGCAAATGCTCTGAACCGGTGGCTCACCCTCAGGGTGGGGTGAAGGAATAGCCCTTTGACACATAACTCTGGACAAATTCCCACTAATTCAGCCATAAACAGCTGAAGGCCTGGTCAGCTTTGTAGAAACCTGCACATTTTGTCCTTTTTATCCCGTTTGTTCCCTTGTCCCACCAGAGGCCACCACAAACCTCAGCTGGGGGGGAAAAAAACCAAAAAAAAACCCAAAAAAAAAAAAAAACAAACCAAAAAAAAAAAAGAAAGAGGAAGAAAGCAAAGCAATGGAAGGGGCACCTGCAGCCCTGAATGGCCAAAGCTCCTGTTTTATGAGGAGACTCAGAAGTGGAACTTGGATCCCTCCAGAAACAGCTTCTCCTCCCGCTGCGTCGGGAGCGACTCCCGGATCGCGCCTCTCGGAGCCAGGGAATGATCTCAGGCCGCTGAGATCAGATTTTGCTGAGTGTGTACAGGGTTAGGCCTGATGTTCCCTGCCCTTTCCAGAGAAGTTCTCCCCTCTCCAAACCGTGCCTTGAGATTTGGTTTCCTCCTCGGGAAGCCTTGGCCCTTCTGCTGCCTCGGCATCTCAGCCTTGGCCTTTGCCATCCCCGTTTATCCACCTGAGGCCTTGGGGTTCCTGGAATTGCCTGTGCTTTTCCTGGAAGAAGCGTTTGGAGGGACGGAATGGCTTGTGCAGGAAGCCTTCAAAGGGCTGAGAAGGTGTCCAGGAGGCACAGAGGCAGCTGGAGTTTGGATTCCACCCTCCCGAGGGGTGTTTTCTGCTCTCCAGCAACCACTCACGCCCGACGTGCCCTGGCTTGAGGGGAAGGGGGTTGATGGAAGATCCTGCCTGCTGTGCTGGCCAAAATTGGGCTTTATGGAAGGAACATTGCAAAAAAAAAAATAAAAAAAAAAATGCAGAGGCTCAAACTCAACATTAAAATGATTAAAATGAATTCATCACCACCGGGCTTGAGCTGTGCCCTCGCAGTCTTTGGGTGGGAAGAGCAGTTCAGGTGAAGCAAGGGCTGACTTTAGGCCTTTGCACAGGCCATGATCCTGAAAAATACCGGGGGAAAATAGCAGCTTTGCTCCTGTGGCTGTTTTTCAGCTTTGGGTGGGTGGGGTCGGGAGGAGGATTTGCCAGAACTCTCCAGAGCCAGTTCGTTCCTGTGAGATTTCTGGGGCTGATATTTTCTTGAAAACTCCAGAGGTTTGGATTAGTCTCCAGCCTCCATCATTCTGGAGGGCTTCCCACCCCTTGTGAGCGTGTACACTCCGTTTTTCCATTTCTCTGGGGGCGATTAAAAAAAAAAAATAAAATATCCCCAAAAACAACCCTCAGCCTGGATGATGCTGAATTTTCCTCTGAGTTCATAAGTGATGTGCAAAGAAGCACCATTTTTGGACAGGCAGCCAGTGATCTGTAATGTCTCAAAGCTTAGAAAATAAAACATGTGGGTGAGGAGAGACGGGTGATAAGATGAGCTGAGGGTCAGGAGAACGGGGGGGTTTGGGAGCCAGGGCCTTCCACAAGCCCTGAGGTTGGTGAGAGGAGCAGCTCTGCAAGTGCAGCTGTTTAATTTAACCTCTTTAATTAATTCTTTTGACTTGCCCCCCATCAATAACCTTCTCTCAGCACTGTGGGAGCTCCAGCATTTCAGGGCTGAGCGGGGAGACCCTTGGCATGAGAAGAGCTGGGTGTTCAATGCTGTTCCCCAACAGGGCTCTGATTTCTGCTTGAAAATTCATCTCCTTGTTGGAGGAGGTCCCTCCTGCTCCTGAGGAGGGTCCCTGTCCCTCCCCACCCCCAGATGTGGGCCCTGGGAACATCCCTGTCTGTCCATCCCCAATCATCCCGGACAGAAAGGCTGTGGAACACCTCAGGCAAACCCTGGGTTGGGTCCTGGAGGAGCTGGAAGCCTTTTGTGGTCAAGTTTTTTTGGGAATTGTTAATGAGGGCAGTCAAGGCAGTCTCCAGGAAGAAGGTTTAGTCTTGTTTCTTTGAGGTCTAAGATCAGTTTTAGGGGGGGATAAGCAAAAAAAGGTTGAGGCAAAGCTCTGCTCTCCCACCCCCAGAAGAGGAGGGAGGGTTTTGGTGGAATCCTAAGGCTGTGTTATAATAAAAACCCCATTTTCTTACTCAGGATCCTCATTTTACATCTGGATTACGAGAGCACTTTAGAGAACAACCTTGACAATCTGCTGGTGCTTCCTTTATCCCTCTGTTCTTTGTGCCCTCCATGAATCCCCTGATTCCACAGCAGCTGAAGAAACCCTGGAGAATTTTCACTGTCATTCACAAAGGCTTTTTTCCCCCCATTTCCCTTGTATAAGAAAAAGACATATTTCCGCACACAAGTGTTAAATGACTCGTATTAAAACCAAATTTAAAAGTGTAGCCTCTTCCTGAGATGGGGCAGAGAGGATCACACTTGGTCATGGATTTCTTTCCCCCCCTTTTCTTTGTCCCATTGGAAGAGCTGAGTTTGGGGAAAGGGGGATTATCACGGGGTGATCGATCCTTTCTTCCTCTTTGTACAAGTTAAATCTAATTTCCAGCAGGGAAAAAGCTTCATGTCTCCTGCCAACAGCTGGCTGCCAAGCTCATTTTTACAGAGCACCTCTTTGATCACCGTTGTCCTGAAAAGACCTGATTGCTCGGGGCTGGTTTTGCTTAATTCCAGCTGTTAAAATCCCCCTGGATATCTTCTTTTTGGGTTGGTTTTTTTTTAATGTCAGCAGTGGAGCTAATTACTGGGGAGAGGGCAACTGGGAGGGGAAAAACAGCCCCTGTTTCAGTCAGCAAGAGGAAGTGCCCAGAGAACTGTCATTAATCTCGAATCAACACTTATTTAAAGGCTGTGGCTTTTTGCTGTGTGTGTGTTCAGGAGGCCCTGAGCAGGTTTGCTTAATATAACCCATGGCATGGAAAACCTCCCCGTGTTCCCTCGAGATTCCCAGAGAAAGGGAGGCTCTGTGGTCTGCCTGAGCTGCTGGGGAAGGCATCTCACCACTTCACACAGGGAAGTGGAGCCCAGACTTTTCCCTGTGGCTCCTTGGGACGTGCCCACAGAAAGCCCAGCTCTGTCTCCCGTGGATGGAGCCTCCATTCCTTGGCTCTCCCTGAAAAAATGAGGTTTTCCCTGGAGCCCCAAGCCAAATGTTGCCCTTTCTGCCTGCCTTGTGTTGTGGGTCTGTCTCAGAGGTGTCAGTGTTCTGGGGGTGTTAGGTGGGAATATCACCGAGTTCTTGGGGATGCTCCTCGCTGAAAGGAACCATGCTGGGTCTGTTTTCCAAGCTGGATGTCCCAGGGTTGGAGGTCTGTGCCAGCTGCTGGCCAGTCTGAGGCCTTCTCTGGGCAGTGCCTGTGCCTGTGGCACAGAAATGTCATTATTCCTGCACAGGACGTGCCTTTCTGTGGGGCTGCTGGACCAGCCCCGTGCAGACAGCGAGGAGATCCCCTCAGCCCTGGGTTCTGCCTGTCCAGGGGTCAGTGCCAGATGTTCCTTGGGAGTTAATAACCCTTGGTACACGTTCAAACCCCAGTCAATGCTCCCTAAGAGAGGTCCCAGGGCTATTAGAGCGTGGACGTGCTGTCTGCCCACCTACACGTGTGAGCTCAGAGCCCCGAGCACTTCCAGTCCCGGCTGCAACGAGCCAAGTCCTGTTTATGCTCCTCCTGGAGACCCCTGGATTGCAGAATCAGGAGGTTTGACCACAGAGATCCATGGTGCACATCACTCAGGGGGAAAAGAAGTGCCAGTCTGCTTGGAAAAGGTTTTGTTTTCAAGCTTTGCCATCCCGGGGAGTTTTGGGAAGTGACTTTGGTGCCGAGGGGAGGGCAGGCAGGGAATCTTTGTTATTGTCATTATATGGCTCTGGGAGGTGTTTTTTAGGAGCAAAATCCAAAAAAAGGGAGGCCACAGCCAAAGCCCTTTCACTGGGAAAACCTGCCTGGTCCAAACATTAATGACAATCCCAATAATAATTCCCAGCAAGCCGTGATGGCTTAACCATCACAGCAGTTTTGCATCTCTCTTGGTCAAAACAGCCTTTTTTTTTTTCTTCTTCTTCTTTTTTTTTTTTTTCCCCCAGTACAATTCCAGTGAATTACTCCCAGTTTCCTCAATGTCTGGGCTCCTGCTGGCTCCTGGAGCAAGAGGAGCTCATTGTTGCAAAAGGAACTTAACCCAGCGTTGGAAATCTTTATTGTCCCCGATAGAAAAAGGGCATGAATAGCAAAGGAAAAAATGTGCAACGTTTCCTGCGAGGTTTTAACGACCCTCCTGGGTGTGGGATTACGACATGGGGCTGGGGAATAGCTTGGAGCAGGGTGATGGTGGGGAGAGGGAGCTCTGGCAGCTTTTCCACCCCCAGCTGTCAGGATCGTTGCAGGAGCTGCTGGACAGGGTGGCAAGGACTGGGATGGAGCTCTTCCTGATCCCAGAGTGCCACTGGTGTGCCACTTGTCTTTGCCAGCCCTCCAGGAGCCTGAAGGGGTGGTGTGGGGTCTGTGGGACCTTCTGTTGGCCCCCTGCCCTGGGTTTTGTACAGGCCATATTAGTTCCAGGTGTCCCAGTTCTCCTCAGATCGTGCTGACACAACAGCTCAGGCATCTTGGAAGGGCTGGAGCACCAGTGTGGGACCCAGGAGGGTGGAATATTTGACGGTGCTGAGACCTTTCCAGAGGCAGAAAGAAGGTGATCAGAACTCAGCAAACCACGGGGAGGTTCTGGACCATGTTTAAAATAAAGGGCAATGTCCAGGGTGATCCTTGTCCCAGGCAGGCTTTGGACCTGTGTTGTGGCTTTGTCACCGGTCCTGTGACTGGTCTCATCTGCTGCTGTTCCTGAGGAGACTCCCTGGATGGAGCTACAGGTGACCAAATCCCCCTGGAGAGTCCCTGGGAGCCTCATCCTGCTTCCTGCTGCTCTCTGGCTGCTGAAGCTCAGGATCTCACTGTGCACTCAGACACTCCTTATTTCAGAGAATCAGGAAATCCCAGACTGGTTTGGGTTGGAAGGACCTTAAAGCCCATCCAGTCCCACCCCCTGCCACGGGCAGGGACACTTTCCACTCTCCCAGGTTGCTCCAGCCTGGCCTTGGGCACTTCCAGGGACGGGGCAGCCACAGCTCCTCTGGGAAATCCATCCCAGTGTCTCCCCACCCTCACAGTCAATAATTTCCTCCCAGTATCCCACCTAAACCTCCTCTCTGTCAGTTTAGTGCCCATTTGTTGCTGGACTAGAGCTGTTGGATATTTTCTCCTCCTGTAGAAGTCCAGCTGATGCTCCTCAGAGTTCCTACATCCTTGTCCCGGCCCACGGGGGTGGAATCTGCCACTTCCAGCAGGATCAGCCACTTCAGGCTGCCCAGACAATATGGACTATCACTTATTTCAGATGAATGTGCAGATCCTTTTCTTTTTTGAGCTTCTTTCCCTGCCAGTGCTTGTGAATGAAGCTTCCCCTCCTCTGGAGGAGGGAGATGGTTCAGTTATTCCGGTGCTGGCAGGAGCTTCGGCCTTCCAGGCTCGACTGACCCTGTGTGGTGTGACCAGCACGGGCTGCTGAGCCTCTGAGGGGCTCAGAGAGGCTGGGGAGGGGGGTCTTTAATCCTCAGGAGTGAAATGGGGCAGGAAAAAGTGAAAAAGTGAGTTCCTGGACTGGTTGTCCCGGTGAGAGGAAGAGGGAAAAGCCCCGTGGGGCAGGAGCTGCTTCTGTTTCTTGCTCGTGGTTTCCTGGAATCATGGAATGGTTTGGGTTGGAAGGGACCTTAAAAACCATCCAGTTCCACCCCCTGCCATGGGCAGGGATACTTTCCATTCTCCTAGGTTGCTCCAACCTGGCCTTGGACACTTCCAGGGCTGGGGCAGCCACAGCTTCTCTGGGAATTCCATCC